ACTTAAAAAAAATGTCTGGTTGACATATAGTACAACTAAAGTTCACTCTATCAAGTTTTGTTTTAAGTACACCAGACATTCATTATTTAAACATTTTCATGGGAAATACATGTCTGTTTCAGAGTAAGTAATGCTGGCACCAGAAATTTTAACTTGGTTATTTCCCTTTAACAAAGATGAAGTGAGTTTCTACATCCACTCATATGTGTGTATACATATGAAGCATCTTAACTAAAGAGTCTCTGGAAAGTCACATTAAAATTAGCTGACACCATCATGGTAAGAAGTATGGCTTGCCATCCCCCTGTTTTGCAGAAGTCATTCATAACTCATAAACCATAATTTTCCCTGTTGACACAATTAAGAGAGTGGGGCTTTGAAATGATTTTAAATTTTTCTAAAATTAATTTTAGGAGGCTAATTCTATATTAACTTCTGATTTCTTATACATGTTGATGCACTGTTAGAGAACAATTGTCTTTATTCTACTCTTTTTTCTTTTTCTTAGGCTACATAGTAAGTAATAGAAGTGTAGGGGAGGTATTAAAGATAGCACATAAATCACAGATACATTGATTCTTATACATTCCTTAAAACTTTGGGACTGTCTGTATGCATTTTGAGTATTCCGATATTACCAATACATGAATGTATCCCATGTGTGTGCTATGTCATGTAATCAGTCTCCAAAAGTGAAAAAAAAAAGATGCATCCTTTAAAATTACTATCAGATTCTTTGATTAAAAAAAGTTTTTCCTAAACCCATTTCCATAGAGTGAATATTGATTTGATAAGAATACAAAAATAGCTTTAGCTATCTGGGTGCCACCATGAGCTCACAAATTCTCACTAGAAAAATCAGTTGACAGTATAAATTATGAATTTAGCCAACCTCTGATATAACTGTCATGTGTCCTTTTGTTCTCTGTGCTGTGGGAGTGATGAAAGTCTGAGTGATGTGTCATCATCTGTGTGTGTCAGGAGCAATCTGCCAGTTTTGACTTTAATGGACAAGCCAGCCATGGAATGACAGCTGAGTGACATAGTATGGTGGCTGATGCCTCTCACTGGATTGACTGCCTGCTAATCTAGTTTGGCTTTTTTCCCTGTAGTGAATTTGTTGGCTATTTCTTAAAGCTCATGTTTCCTATTCTAACCTTTGCTTCTAGCACACTAAAAGCCTCTTCAGGGTATTACTTATTAATAAACTGGTCTACTGGAGTATATTTGCTTAAAATATGTAAGTTAAGTTACTTCTTTAGGATAATCTAATGATACTTGTGTCTTGTTTTGTTTTATTTTGTTTTGTCTTGGACTGTTATGAAGTGTCCAGATTCATTAGTGCTAACCATAACGGCAAAGTTAACAAAAAAAAATCAACTGCAGTAGGTATGCTGAGTGATTTTTTTTTTTTTAAGTGATTATACACAAGTTTTGGAACCTTGTTTAGCCTCTGTCTATACACCATGGCTAACGTATTAAAGAATTTCCCTCTACTTAAATGCCAGTTCTTGCAATTATTCAAACCACTCACAATTTTAAATTTATTTTTAAAAATTGGCAATAAATGTTTAAGATTAGTTGGAGAAAGATCCATTCATTTCCTCTCTCCTACTCAAAACTCCTACTCCAGCATCGGAGTGTAAGGCTACAGGTTGTCATCCTACAGCCAATAGTCTTAGACACTCAATTCATGGTATAAGGCTCCAAGCTAAACAAGGAGTGGGTAAAACTAAGACACTCTACTTATTTATTTATTTTTTTTATGTTGGGAACAAAGAAAGCTGTGACTTAGTTTACCCTTTGCCAGCGTTAACTGCAACTAAAAGACTCCCCTTTGATATCCTTTGTTTTTAAAGCTACTTACTAAAGTGTGGGGTTATCTTTTCACCAGACAAAGATGAATGCTCTAAGGATAATGGCGGGTGTCAACATGAGTGTGTCAACACAATGGGGAGCTACATGTGTCAGTGCCGTAATGGATTTGTGCTGCATGAAAATAAACATGACTGCAAGGAAGGTACGAAGGGAGTGTTCTTTTCTTGACAACATCCAGAATTTCATGCAGTTTGGGTAAAGCACTGCTTCCAAGTAGAGTTAATCATATCAATGAGTAATATCATTGTTGACTGTTCACATGTCAAAAAAAAAAAAAAAAA